GGCTGGCTTCACGGCAACCAAGATCCCATTTTTCTTGAGAGGACATTGCTCTTTGAGATGTCTCCTCCAGTGAAAGGATACAGAGGGTCTTTCTCCTTCTTCTGTTATATTGAAATAGTCATAGGGGTTTGCCCTATCTATGAATGGAAACCAGTCTTGTAATGTTCCCCCTTTAATCTTCAAGAGTTTTGGATTGTTTGGTGGTTTTCCATTGAAAGATTTGGGATTGAGCAAGGCTCAACAATTGAGCCTTGCATTGCATCCCCAGCTAGACAGGACAGTATGAGAACTCTCTCCTGCCTGAATGGGCCATCACTAATGTATACTATCCCTGATGATTAATTTTTACCCAAGTCCATAAAGCATAGGTTCAATATAAATACATTATTGTACATACATCTCACAGTGATTGAGTCTCGACAAATTACGAGCTTTCTGTAGATGTCTTACACATTACTCTTTATGGATAAACATCTTTTCAGATGTGTTTGGTGTGGTGAGTCCAGTCTGAGTTGAGAGCTGTTTGCAAACAATGAGGGGGAACTCTTTCCTTAGGAATTGCTGTGTCATAGAGAAAAACAAAACAAACCAAAAAATACCCACAGATATCTACAACTAATGTGGTCCAGGGGCAGTGCCTTGATGAGGCTCGCTGCCAACACAGTGCTGCTAGCTACGGGGAAGGAAGAGATTTGTTTCAGTTCTGGTCCCTGGACTGTATTCAGGGAGTTGGTTGCTTTTGTGTTAGTTTGGTATCTTGTAAGATGTTTAATGTGGTGAGTTTGTCCTGAGTTGAGAGCTGTTCGTAAACAACAAGGGAGAGCTCTTTGCCTAGGAGTCTGGTGTCATAAACGTAATTTGTCATAATTAACGTAAAGTCTAGTAGCTTGGGGACAGCATGCCAGAGCTTCTTGGCCACTTCAGAGGGCTGATGTTCACTGCCTCTCTCCTGAAGGTCATAGGAAAAGAAGTCTTCACTCCACCCTCAACTGTATTTGTTTGTTCTGCCCTGTGAATAGTTACACTTGCGGTGCCTGCTGCTACTAATGGCTTTCCCAAGCAGCTGCAGCAGTATGAAATTGTCATGATTCTTGACAATTTCATTGCTGTCCACAGGATCTTGAATAGCAGCAGGGGAACTGACTAAAGCCTTGTTAATTTCACACTGCTGCTGCTTGGCAAAGCTATTAGCACCAGCAGATAACCTGGAGCTGTCTTTTTGCAGACTCAAGAAGACAACGCAGCTTCAGTTTATATTCAGTTAAATTTGGAAGATTATTTTTGCAACTTTAAGAGCTGGAAAGGTATTTTTCAAATAAAACATAAGTTCTAAATACATCCCCTCTCCCTTGCAGATTTGCTAGAGAAATCTTTCTCTCTGACCATTGGAAAGTAAAGGAGTAGCATTTTAAGCCTTGGACAAAGGGATATCCCCATCTAGAGTGCTATCATCAGCCACAAAAAGTAGTTACAAACCAAAAATTTACTACAAAGCCTTATAAGTGCCGGATAATTTTTTCAAGTTCTGTGTATTATGTTCATTGAATTAAAAGTAGTTAAAAGCTGCAATATTGAAATTACATAAAATTAAATGGCTAATTGGATGAATACATAAAAATGTAACTAGTTTTGCTTTTGAGTTTGTTTTATTTATTTTTTCTTTTATTTTTAAATTTGGTTGCAAAGTTCATGCAAACTTTTTTTTTATTTTGGGGAGCGAGGGTGTGTGTTTGTGGTGTTGTCACTGCCACCCCCATGTCCCCTCTCGCCCCCGACAATATATTTCAGTATTCATCATTTTTGGTTTTGGTGTCCATCAGAGTGATGACTCTCTCAATGCAGACTTATATTCTGGTTTATTGTGACCTTTATTTAGATAAGGAGAACTGACTGGTGTTTTCCTTCATTCTCATAATGCCTGTTCCAGATTGGCCAGAGATGTTGCACTAGAACAGTAAAGTGTACCTTCTGTTCCCTAGCTACTACGCTTGCTGCTTGTGTAGTGTTCTCTACAAGCCTGGGATGCAAGAAACACTCCCTGATAAAATACATGTTGAACTGCCATCAACGTCAGTAGCCAACTTCATTGGATCAGATCCTAAAATTTTACTGAAAACCCAGTAGCAAGAATGTTGTGCCAAGACAATTAAAAGTAGACTGAAAAACATATTTGGTACAATGTGTTTTACCTAATTTGTAAAATAACATACCTTTATTAATGTTAAATTCAATGTAATTTGTATTACTGTATGTATTACAACTATAATGCACAAGCACTTTGTAATTGTATTTATTTAAAACCGCCAAATAATTTAAGACTCAAGGGAAGGTATTAGATTTAAACAACAAGCACACAGAGACATTTTATTTAAATCAAAATAATATTGTTGACAAAAGCAGTAACTTACTTATGTCTATACCACTTGTATTCTCAACAGATAGGGAAGTTAATTCTGAAATAAATAACCTATTTGTGAATTAAAGTATACTATTAATAAATTGAAGGCCTAAGCAATGTAAACTCTTAAAAGTTCAGTCATTGTAGCATCATGGGGGCTTTTCATTTAAATGTTCACTATAAAGTGTGATTGTCATTTACTGTTTTCATGATAAATAGTGTTTGGAAAAATGACAACCCTGCCTGATATGATTTTTGTGTTTGGGGTTGTTTTTTTTTTATTGTGAAAAGAACAGAATCGCCAGGGGACAGGGAGTAATTATCATGTTCTATATTTTAAATAACCTTTACAAAAATCAGTGTACCTGCTCATACCTAGTTGGATGGAAATGAGGCTAAATATTAGAAAGATACAAGATACCTTAGTGTGGCATTTTAATTTTGAATGCTAAAATCAAAATGTAAAATATTCCATCTATGTTAAACAAAATTATAAACCTTTGAGTAAATAGGAGCTCATTACAGCCATCTAACTGAAGGCTCTCCAGCTCAAAATATTCTTTATTTCTCCATGGGGAAAAAAAGAAACAGCAGCAAGAAAAGGAATGCTTCCATTTTGTGTTGTAGTGATCTGTTCTGTATGAAATCTCTGTAGTAAAATACTCTCAATGTCTAAAATAAGTGCAGTCTACTTTGCCTATGTTTTATCCTCTGGGCTAAATTTGTTACAACGTCTTGATATTGAGCTCTGTAAAATATTTTGTTCTCCAGACTTATTTAAGATTTTGGTTATTACAAATAAAGTTGACAGAAATGTAAAATTGCAGCAGTGGCTAGAGAACATTACTACGGGTGAGAACATTACTTGGAAGTGATAGTTTACAAGATTTGTTTCTACCTATGTAAAATACAATCTTTTCATTACTGTAAGAGGTGGAAGAGTAAGAGTTAACTACTGTACCACATGTAGGGAAGAGCAGTCCATTGGGGGTTAAATTGCAGAGTCTAATGGAATAATAACTGGTAGCACCATCTGCTGGCCTACTTCCGCAGAAGGAGTCAGTATTTTTAACGACATCTCTAATATTCATGCTGATGCATTTTGATGCTTTGTGCATTCATTTCTTTCTGTGCTTTGTTGGAATCTGGCTATCTGCTTACAGCTGTTGTTGAAATTCTGCTCTTTAGGGGAGATGGCAGTCTTTGTCATACCTGAGTAGGATGAACAGTGGATGTATACTTCTCAAGGAAGAAATATGTTGATAAATCACAATGTGTATTTGTGGAGGGTTGTGCATATCTTGGCTGCAGCTTGCTAAATAGGCCATTTAGCAATCTTCTTTCAATGCTTTTTTCTTGAGCCCTGCCTGGGGTGGTGAAAAAGCAGAGGGCAAGCCTTTGTCTGACGCCAAAAATGTCTTCAGTGAAGAGGCCAAGAGGAAGGGTAAGTGAAAGCCTGAATGAGTGGGAGGAGGAGGGGTTCTTTGGGCTAAAAGGCTAATGGGATTGAATAACCTTCCTTATTACTGGCTGCTGCTGCGGGAGTCGTGCTGCATCGCCATCTTGAGCTTGTTGCTGTTTTCTCGGGTCTTGGTTATTTGTTATAGCCTGTAGGCCTTAAGGTGGCATTTAGTGAGCGATCCTAAACCCTGTGTCCTTCTCAGTGCTGCAGCACTGCTATTAAGCCTTTGATGAGGCACGTATAGAAAAATTATTCAGTGGAGCGCACTGGATTTGGCCTGAAAATGTGTTTGGAAATTCCTGGTGTCTTTTCCCCATGCTGTAGTGAGAGGCACATTTACGGGTGAGAACATAACAGAACTGTTATCTGCTATTTTTTGTCTGTTTGAATAGGAAATTCTTTACATTCCTTAAGGTTAAACAACATGCCTTCTAGTTGATTTCAAATAGACTGCTAATTTGAATGTAGAATTCCTAGTTCTAGCATAAACAATTCTGTATAGATATAACAGTGACATAGGGGGGAAAAAAGTGAAAGTTAACTCCTTCAAGTAACAGTATAACATGTAATTTTAAATAAATTAAATATATGCTTCCTAAATACTTTACTGATGTAGAAAACTGCATAATCTGTGTTTGTTCTTTTTTAAAGCCTTGATTTGGTCAAATATCTGTTCTTGTTGGTCATAAAATAGTGCTGTTGATTTTATATTTAACTGTAGGATAATTATTCCTGTTTTGATATTACTTTCAGAGGTATATTGTTGCTATACTTTTATTAGTTCCCTACTCTTTCAAGTTTTGTGAAGCAAATAGCTAGGGGAAATCTCTTCTAAATCCATAAAACATTTTCAAAGGCCAAGAACCGGCGCATCTAATTACAGAGGTTGGTAAAGAAGGCTGTGAGAACTTTAGAAAATCTGTTTTCTCGTTGATTTTCTGTACGTAGAACCAGTTTAAATGTAACAATTGGTGTACTTTATTCTGGAACCCACGCTATAGTGGAGTAATACGCAATCATTTTCCTTGTTTATTGCATTTATATGTATTCTTGACTTTGCTGTAGAACTCAGTGAGCAATATTTGCAAATTTATTTTGAAATATATTTATTTTCTTAAAATAATGTTTTTATTCTTCCAGCCTCCCTCCTCCAAGAAGACTGATGTTTCAGGGACATATACTAAATTGCAGAATACCCAGGTGAGGGCAATGTCTGAAAAGAAACAGAAGAAAAAAGTGGAATCGGAAAGTAAGCAGGAGAAGGCTAATCGTATAATATCGGAGGCAATCGCAAAAGCAAAAGAGAGAGGGGAGAGAAACATTCCACGAGTAATGAGTCCTGAAAACTTCCCCAGTGTTTCGGCTGAAGGAAAAGAGGAAAAGAAAGGTAGAAAAATGAAATCCAAACCAAAGGACAAGGAGAGCAAAAAAACTAAAACTGGTTCCTCATCCAAAATTAAAGACAAAACAAAAATTGGGTGAGTAGACTAAAATTTCCTTTTAACTCCCTTCAGATTGCAAATATTTGACTGGAACAGAAACTGCTTATTAATCATAGATATTCATCCTCTAAATATCTTGAACCCATCTGTTTTTGTTTATTAAGTTGCCTTTTGGTTAGTTTTAAAATTTTTATTTGATGTATTATCAATGTTATTTTTTATCAATCTCCATATTTCTTTTGAGATGAGCCATGATACTATATAAAGAGAAACTGGACATCTAATTAGCATATTAGCAAACGAACATTAATGCAGATGCCTGAGAAACTGTGGTGTAGACAAGAAGAGTCCACAACAGAACAGAGAATTTGCGATCACATTTTGATTTATTTTTTTTTTAATTACTATGTATTCTGCATCCATGCAAACTTTTGTCATCCCTTGAAATTTTGCAAGTTTAGCAGGGTCAATATGTGTCAATACTTTGATGGGAAAACTGCACAGGACATTTAAGGTGATGTAGAAAGTGCTGCTAGGGCTTCGGTAGGTGGCACTCCTCCCTCTGATTTACTATTGACCCAGTTCTCCATTGTGGTCTTAAAAGACAATGTATAATTTGAGGTATTAACTTTCAAACAAAGCTTAAAACAGAAGTCATGACCATTTGTGTGTTTTTTCCCAAAAATATGCTCTTTTTTTGTAAGAATTGTGATATTAAATCAACGTCTTTATCTGTGCTTGAATTTGGTATTATATACTCAGATGATAGATATGGAAATGTCTTTTTTAGGTCATACAGTTAATCTCCCTGAAAATGTAAAATTAATCCCTGTTGTTCATTTTCTAGAATTTTGTGCCATCTAGTTCTTAAATGTTCCACTTACCTTGAGAGGCTATTCCACAACATAATGAATAACGTTCTGATGAAACTTTTCCTGTATTTTTTTTTTTTCTAACCTAAATTTTCTTGGGCTTAATCTCTTCCCCGAATTTCTTGGTGAACCGCACTGAATAATTCACTTTCTTTTTTATGCCCACTATTACCCTGGTCTCTTTCGGCATCATTGCTTTCCAGGTTTCTCCCATCTGTTTAATAACTTGTGTGTTGAATCATTTTTTCAGGCTGTATGAACTCACAGCTTTCCAAGTTGAATCACATTCTGTTGTGTTTTGCCCTTATTTTTAATCTCTTGGTAGCTTTTTGTAGTTCTCTTTTCACTAGTATTAGCAACTCCTTCCAGTTTAATATTATCAGTGAATATTATTAGCATGCTTTTTAATTAATTACCCAAAAGGGGGAGTAATGAATTTAATAAGACCTTATCTGAAACTAATCCGTATGGTATACCACACTAGACTTCTCCCCTTCTTATTGTATAAATCAAAATAAATAAATAAGTTGTCATTACCTCTTGTTTACAGTTCTTCAGTCAGTTTTCAATTCACGTAACATTGTTCTATCCATGACAATATGGATTCATTTTCAAGTAAGAGTTCACGACAGGTAAAATCCAAATATACAGTAGTGTAGTACTCAAAAATATAATACATTTAATTTGGTCATTTTGGGCCCAATTCAAAGTATATTGAAGTCATTAGAAAGACTCCCATTTACTCCAGTAGGTTTTTAGTAATTTGGCATTTAAAAACGAAAAAGCAATTTGTCTAACTATGCTTTACAGTTTAGAAACTTTCTCTTTATCATTAAGGAATCTGGTGGCCTCAGCATGTTTATTAATTGCAGCCACAAATAGTTTAATTATTTTATGGAGCTAGTTAGTTTCCTATATTATTCTGTTGTGTAGCATTACTGTGTGCTGTTAAAGACCTGTGTTGTACTCCAGAGATGGCTGTGTTTTACTGGTGAATTGAGTGATCTCTGTATAATTTGCTTGTGGAGCACTTTCTGATCCTTCTGGGTGAAATGAGTTATACAAATGAAAGTTGCTGTTATATGAAGACTAACTTAATGTGAACAAAGTAAAAACATTCAGAATTAAAACTGAAACTGTATCCATGGTTTATCTCGTTAAAATTTCAGCCTTTTTTATTTTATTTATTTATGTATTTATTTTTTTTGTGGTCTTTAGTTTGAGCAGTTTCTCATACTTCTGTTGTTCCCAGCTGGCTTTTGATATTTGACAGTGGGGTAGACTTCAGGCTACTGAAGTGTCATTTCTTTATCTCATGAATTCCATGTTGATTTTGCTGAGCTATAAATTGTTAAAAATCATCATTCTTCGAGTAGTGTCCCTATGGATGTTGCACTGTAAGTGTGCTGATCAGAGAATTTTGGTAGCAGAGCATGTGCTGGACGAATGGACACGATCTCCCCTTGTTTCCTGGCACAAGGCTAACTAGTGAGTGCAGGCTAACCCCCCTCAGTTCCTTCCTGACCACCGGGAAGAGCCAGGTTGTCCTCCCTTTGCACAGAAGCACTAAAGTTACGGAGTTGGTGTGTTTCCCACAAGATCACACTATCAACAGCCTACCTTCCCAGAGTTCAAAACTTGGTAGTTGACAGTCTCAGTCGCAAGTTCCCTTGTGACCATGAATGGGAGAAAAACCTAGTAGTGCTTTACGATCCATTCATGCAGTGGGGGCCACTTACCTGAACAAGAAATGTCCATGCTACTGCTGCAGAGCAGGGATAGGACAGCACTCTCTGGGTGACAGCCTCCTTTTTCCGTGGCAGAACAACTTCTCTGTGCCTTTCCCCTGCTTCTCCTTCTGTCTAAAGTCTTTTTAATAATAAAAAGAGAAGGTACTCATGTCATACTGATTGCTCCCACCTGGCCGAGACAGACCTGATTCCCTTACTTGTCACAAGTTGTGACGTGCCTGCTGATCTTCCTTTAACCCACTCCTTATCTCCTATCGTAGAACAAAGGACTTACTCTATATCCCAACCTGGGAATATTCTGCCTCAAGACTTGGCTCCAGCGCATAGAAAGCTCCTGCTTGGAGGAGGTACAGAAAGTGTTACTAAACAGTAGAAAATCCACTGCACATCGTACTTGCCCGCAAAAGTGGTTGAGGTTTCAGATTTGGTGCAATTCCTGACACATTTCCCCGACATCTGCGACTCTGCTAAGGGTCCTAGGCTATGTACTGAC